AAATAAATAAACCCTCTCACTGCACTGCAACATAACCGTAACATGGGGAAGCAGTATAACACAAACCAACATATAAAAGTAAAATAAAAAAAAACAAATACCTTCACGCATGAGGTGCACCACGCGCCCACACAGAAACTGACCCGATCTACATCTCGCCTCGGGTCAAAAGAACGAAATTATCGAGCGGTCAGTTTTTATACAGTTTTTCATGGCAAATGGCTTAAGGGTGTAGTAATGCATTAAGAAGAGAAAAATAACACAAGCAGAAAACTTTCTGGTTTATTTTTATACACTAGCCGTACCGACTAGGCTCTACATTGGCATTTGAGATGAACTTATCTGTAAAGGGCTGTGACGTCTGCTCATTAAGCTTCATATACCCCGCGCACCCCGGTGTCTGAGAATATATAACATTTTCTACTAAATGTCTATATCAAAATATGGACGTATGTAAAAATATAAACACAAACGCAAACATAAACGCAAAAATAAACAACGCAAACGGAAATATAAGCACAAAAGCAAACTAAAAAGGCAAAAACAAACGCAAATATAAAAGCAAACAAACAGAAACGCAAACACAAACATAACGCGAAAATAATCTTAAACGCAAACGTAAACATAAACGCAAACATAAACACACACACAATCATAAACCCAAAAATTAAAGCAAACGGAAACTCTAACGTTAATATAAACGCAAACAATAATGAAAAAAAAACTTAAACTCAAACACAAACAATAACTGAAACGAAAAGATGAATGTAAACATAGAGTACGTTTAGGAACGGCTTCTAAACTATTATTGATTAAAAATAATAATTAGTAATCAGTACATTCGGTGTATAAAATAGATAAAAGGTAGTATTTAAAATACAGTCTTTTATATACAACAGTGCTTTATATCAATCCATGTGACCTATATAATTAGTTTCCAGCAACAAAACAAACAAAAAGGAAGGATTTTTTTTTCTGATTTAATTTTTTTGGTAGGTCATCTATCAAGGGAAGTAATTGGTACAAAAGATAGTTATTTGTATAATATAATTTTTTTCAGAAAAAAAAGATATTTTTTAAGGGTATAAACTTAATGTAATTGTGTTTTACGTCAATTAAAATGTTGAATTGTAAAATGAAAATTTGTTTAGAAAATTGTAATGATCAATACTGAGTTTTCTAGTACATAGAATAACATTTGTAAAATATTATACAATAACGATGAAGTCAAGTTTTTCTTACTATACACATGTCACCCATAAGTCCGCCACATATGTGAGCGGCTGGAGTGTGTAATTATTATTATTTGTAACTTAGAAGGCGAATGTATCTCGCTTTGTTGTCCATCAGGGTGAGGTCGACTGGCACAACCTCCAGAAGCATGTTGGCCAAAAGATGACCCTTAGGCTGGTGCACCTTCAGACCAGTCATTTTTGCGTGCTGGCAGCGGTCACATGCCTGGCAGTACTGGCGTATATCTGCCTGCATCCCTGGCCAGTAGCATCGTTGCCGTAACAGCTGCAGGCAGCGGTCTGGTCCTTGGTGGCCGTTGTCGTTGTGACTTAGACGGAGTACCTCTGGTCGTAGTTGATTGGGGATAACGCATTGTGCGATTTCACCTTGACCTGGCAGTTTCACCGTGCGCTGCAGGATACCGTCCTTCAACCTTAGTCTCGACTTTTGTCTCAGGAGAATATGTGCTGGGAGCGATAAAGTCGAGGAATGTAATCTGTGGTCGGCGTCAGGAAAGGTATGATCTCCTGGATTATTGGGTCCACCTGTTGGGCATTCTTCACATCGGCCGGTGAGGCCGAAGACAGGAAATTGCAGTGGGCCTCCAGAGGGACAGGTTGATACTGACACCTCTGGCGGGACCCGGGTGGTGACCTGGTACACTCCGGAATACTGGTCTTCGGGATCTCTTGCTGCAGGTTTGTCCACAAGAAACCTGGACAGGACATCAGCGTTGGCATTGGATTTGCCGGACCTGTACTTGACCTCGAAGTCAAACACATCTAGGTCTGCAATCCAGCGGTGCTCAGTTGCACCGGTCTTGGATGATTTAATGTAACTGAGGGGATTGTTATCCGTCAGCACCAATGTCTTACTAACCAGCAAATATCCTCTGAACTTTTCAGCCATGGCCCACTTCAGAGCCAAAAGTTCTAATTTAAGGGCACTATAGTTCTTCATGTTCTTTTCATTCACGCGGAGTGGCCGGCTGGCAAAGGCTTTTACCTTCACCCCATCCGCCTATTTCTGGCTTAAGACTGCACCCAAACCGTAGCTGCTGGCATCTGTTTCCAGAATAAAGGGTCGGGTAAAGTCAGGGTAACCCAGAACCGGCGTAGTGGTCAAGGCAGTCTTAAGCTGGGCAAAGGCTGATTGTTGTTCTGGGCCCCACAGGTTGGTTATGTCCTGCCGTTTGTTTCGCTTGCCGAATTGTTCATGAGTATTGGTGACCACTTGGTGAAGGGGCTTGCGATGTTGGCAAAACCTTTAACAAATCTTCGGTAGTAGCTGGCAAGGCCCAAGAAGGAACGGAGTTCTTTTAGGGTCTTTGGGGGCTGCCACTCGCTGATGGCTGTAATTTTCCCTGGGTCAGTCTTCACACCATCCTTGGACACCACATGTCCCAGGTAGTGCACGCTCTCCGCCCCAAACACACATTTCTCAGGGTTAAGTTTGAGGCCGATATCCCTCAGCCGTGCGAGTATCGTGCGCAGGTTGGCCAGGTGTGAGGTGAAGTCTGGGGCATATATCAGGATGTCATCCAGATAGGCCAGCATGATTCTCATGATGTGCTCACTCTTCACCCCCTGCATCAATCTGGAAAAAGTCTGGACTGCACCACATAGACCAAAGGGCATTCTGGTCCACTGGTACAGACCAAAGGGAGTAACGAAGGCAGTCTTTTCCTGGTCTTCTTCAGCCATGGCAACCTGGTGGTAGCCACTGGCTAAGTCCAGCGTGGAGAAGAAGGTTGACCCCGCCAGGGCATCCAAAGTTTCGTCAATTCTGGGCAGCGGGAACGCATCTTTCCGGGTTATGCCATTCAGCCTCCTGTAATCGCAACATAACCGGATCTCGTCATTCTTTTTCTTCACAATGACCATTAGAGCTGCATAGGGGCTGGTGCTGGGTTGGATAATGCCCCTGGTAGTGAACTTTTCTATGTGTTCTTTAACTGAAGCGAACTCTGTAGGTGGAAGTCGGCGGTAGGGTAACGCCACCGGTATGTCACTAGTTAGTGGGATGCTGTGTTTGAATTCCTGGAGTAATTTCTCCAGAGACGCCCGCTGTGGTGGATCTAGGGTTTCTGCCATCATGCTGGAAAACGAGGGCTCTGGCATGGAAGTGTGGGTCTCGCTTGACAGGGATGAATCTATGACCACCTCAGCAGCCAGAGAGTTGACCCTGAACTGCAGGTTTGGAGGGACCAGCTCGAACGGGTGGATTGTTGCTAGACAGGTCCTACTGGAGATGTAGACGGGCTCCTCAGACAGGTTAGCCACCTGTACCGAGAAGAATCCATCACGGCAGGAAGTTAGACCTGGCACCACGAGCAGGTCTGGGTGAAATGGCTGTTCCAATGGCTGTACTAGCATGTCGTCCACCATCCTAAGGTCCCCTCCCGTCGCCCTAATGGTTGATATACTCTTGGCGGGCACCAGAGTCCTCTCGCGGGGGCTGTGGGCCGTGCCCTCTCGCCATGCCTTCGGTGTCGCCCCAGGAGGCTTGATCAGATAGGCCAATGTGGTTAGGTCTTGGAGGACGTTCATACCCAGCAGACAGGGTGGAGCTGAGCCACCTACTGGATCCTTTATGACAAGGAACCCCTTGTCACGTAGTTCTTCCTTGTTGACTTCCAGGTCGGTAATAAAATAGCCATTGTATGAGATGGCCAAATCATTTGCTGCTCTCAGGGATAGATGGGTGCCTTTTCTTAGAATAATGTTCTTAAGGCTTCTTTTAAAAAATGTCTCTGTGACCGTGCTGGCTTGAGAACCACTGTCTATAACTGCCGTCAACGGTACACCTTGTAAATACAGTCAGGGTGGGACAGTGTCCAACCAGCTTGTGAATGGTGGAGCCTGGACCCGCACCCCCCCCCCCCCAGCAGTGGGACTCCGATCTACTGAGGGCCCCCGTTTTTTGCTATCCGGCAATAACGGACTAGGTGTCCTTGCTGGTTACAATTGTAACAAATTCTTGTTTCCGTCTCTGGACGTCGGCGGGGTGCCCTTCAACTAGATGACACTTGAGGGTTCTGTGCCAAATGAGTCAACAGAGCCGATAGCTGCTCTGCGAGTTTGTCCACCATGTCTTCTAGCCTGGACCTGGGCTAGGCGCGGTCTTCTTTAGGGCGAGCTTCTGCCCCTGGTTCTTCATCTCCAGACCACCGGATGGCAGCGTCTCGTAGGGCCATAAAGGGGGTCTTAGGGTCTTGAAAAATAAGCTCTTGCATTTATGTCAGTAATCAAGGTGAATAATTCCGCCTTGAAACGTAAGTTTGATTATTTTGTCTTTTGGAATTGTTTTAAATATTCAAGTGATGTTTTATTAAATATGGGAAGACAGACCATGTCGTTTTTGTATTGTTTTTTTTTTTTTTTGCTTTTAACATATAATCCTTTGTGATGTCTAACCAATGTAAATACATCTAATAAACTGTTTGTTAAAAATTATTTTTAGTTTAATATTAATGTTGTGTCAGTGTGTAGATATTAGTTTGCTCAGGTCTGTTAAACCGCATTGTAGCAACAAGGATGCGCGGAAGTGAGAGAAAAAAAAATATCACCACTCTCTCTAAGCTCTATCGGTAACTAACAGATCAACAAACCATTACATACAGTTTGGGTTATATCATGCTTTTCATTTACTTATAAGCAGGTGATTTAAAATATTTAATTTTGAATTGAGTACTATATTAAATAAAACCAGCAAATTAAAGCATACATTATCTTTACATTATTGCTGGTTAAAATGTTGTCTTACAGCAAAATCTTCTTTGTTCGACCAGTGACACAGGGAGATGTGTACAGGGCAGATGCCAAAGATATTCCTAGAATTTTTCAGGTAATTTGTTTAATATAACTTGAAATCTTGTACAAGCTTAATCAGACAACAATGTCTAGACATTCATAGTGGTTTCACTATAATGGTATCATAAGTACAAATATATTTCAGAATGCAAAAATTAAATCACTTTTTAAATTTACTTGTTTTTAAACCTGTTTATAGATTTTATATGCAAGTGAAGGTGAGAACAGAAAACCAGACGAGGTCAATCAAGAAAGTGCATTTGCTCCTTTAGATCGTGTAATATAGTGAGACTTGTGAAGTCAAGGGAACTCACTCTTCTGTATTAGTATTATATTTATATTGTTATCTTGAGTGATGTCCCTTACATGTTTATGTATATAAGTGTCTCGCCACTTCCGTCCTCTCTCTCTTTCCTCATGGTGTGAATAAACTACTGTTAACAATCAATGTGGCTTCTCGTCAGTGATTCCAATCCAACACATTGGCGACGAAGATAAATAATCCACTAGAAAGAGCACCTACTTACGCAAAAAAGAGGTTTGCTAGAGCATATTGGCTAAGTATTTCTAGAATAATGGCGCTGTATGGCCAAATAAAAGAATTTGATTCGAATGATGAAATCATTCATGATTACCTAGATAGGTTAAGCTTTTACCTTGAAGCAAACAACGTGACGATAGAAGCCAAAAAGAGAGCTGTTTTGTTAACAGTCATAGGGCCTCAACAATTTAGGCTATTAAAGGACTTATGCGCACCAGCTAGTCTAACTACCAAGAGCTTTAACGAGCTGAGCAAATTGCTAACAGACCACCATGCGCCTACCCCATCAAAGTTTCTATGTCGAGCTAGATTTGACGGTAGGACTCGTCAACCAAACGAGTCAATATCAGAATATGTTGCTGCTTTACGTCATTTAAGTGAATTTTGTGAATTCGGCGATACGCTGTCTGACAGACTATGTGAAAAGTTTGTGACAGGTGTAAACAGCCCTGATATTCAAAGAAAGTTGCTGCTCGAGTCAGATCTAACATTAGAAAAAGCAATACAACTAGCAACTTCATTCCAGCAGTCATCTGATGCGGCGAGATCTCTAGCACCTTCAGAGATCCATGCAGTAAACAGCAGGTTAGTCAACAAACACCAACCCCATCAGAGCATTTCAACTTATGCTAAACAGCCTGCACGTTCAAAGCCTAGATCTAAATCTAGTAATAATTATCAAAAATGTCATCGATGCAAAGGTCCCCATGCATCTCATCGGTGCAAGTTCAAGTCTGCAACTTGTTATAAGTGCAGTAAGCAAGGTCACATTGCCAAGGCCTGCTTTGCAAAGTCTTCGTCTGTTGCTAAATCTAGCCAGTCAAGACAGTACCGCAACCAAAGGCAGCACTATGTTAACTCTCACCAAGACTACCTAACCCAACCAATGAACCACTCTACCTGTGAAAATGCTCAAACTGATTCGCAGCCGGATTTCAACCTGTTCTCTGTGAAATCAATAAGTCATGCTCCCATCAGTGTACTAGTTTATATCAACGGTAAGAGCATCAGCTTCCAACTTGACACTGGAGCATCTCTAACAGTCATCACAAAGAAGGACTTTGACGCTGTCACAGGAGGATCAGTGCCTCTACAACCATGTCACAAGTGTCTAACAACATACACTGGTGACAATGTTCCGGTAATAGGAGAGTGTTGTTCATGTAAGTTATAATGGTCAAAGTGTTAAACTTCCTATTCTTGTGGTTGAAGGAAATGGACCACCATTACTAGGTAGGAACTGGTTAGTTGATCTTAAGTTAAATTGGGAGAGTATATGTTCATTGATCAATACAAGAGAATCTAGTCTTACTTCAATAGATAAAGTTATATCTAAAAATAAAAGTGTTTTTGGTAATTCAGGTTTACTAAATGATAGAACAGTGAAGATAAGCATTAAAGACACAAATCCAAGATACTGCAAAGCTAGAGTTCCACCTTATGCAATGAGGAATAAAATTGAAAATGAGCTAAGTAGATTGGAATCTAATGGCATCATAAAGAAGGTAGACTATTCCGATTGGGCAACGCCCATTGTGCCAGTGTTAAAGAAGGATGGTTCTATAAGAATTTGTGGAGATTATAAAGCTACACTGAATAAGCAAATAGAGCTAAATAGGTACCCTATTCCTAACATTGAGGAAATTTCTTTGAATTTGGCAGGAGGAGACAAATTCACTGAATTAGACTTTAGTCATGCTTACACTCAACTAGAACTGCATCCAGATTCAAAAGTCTATACGACAATAAACACACATAAAGGACTCTACCAATATGAAAGACTATGTTTTGGCATATCATCTAGCCCTGGAATTTTCCAAGCTGTCATGGACAGTATTTTTAAGGATATTCTAAATGTTTGTGTTTACTTTGACAATGTGTACATAACTGGTAAGAATGACACTGAACATCTTAAAACACTTGATAAAGTCTTGAAAATAGTTGGTGAAAAAGGTTTAAAGATAAACAAAGATAAATGTCAATTCATGATGACAGAAATTAGTTTTCTTGGTTATATATTAAGCAAGCAAGATATCAGACCTCAACCTGAGAAAACAAAAGCCATTAAAGAAGCACCCAAACCTGAAAATACCCAACAACTAAGAGCTTTTTTGGGCTTGATAAATTACTATGCAAAGTTCATAGGGAATCTGTCTGGTAAACTATCACCACTGTACAAGCTGCTACAGAAAAATGCAACTTGGCACTGGGGTAAACAACAAGAAGCTGCTTTTAATACAGCAAAATAAGCTTTGTCTTCTGACACCTTACTAACTCACTATGACCCAGGGAAAAGACTTATATTAACATGTGATGCTTCACCAGATGGTGTAGGAGCAGTCTTGTCCCACATGGATGAAAAGGGTGACAGACCCATTGCTTTTGCCAGTAGATCTTTGAACCAGGCTGAGAAAAATTATTCTCAGTTAGATAGGGAAGGCTTAGGCATCATTTTTGGTGTTAAGAAATTTCATAAGTTTCTGTTTGGTAGGAAGTTCACCATCTTTACAGATCATAAACCATTGCTAGGTTTATTTGGAGAAAACAAAACCCTACCTGAGCATGCCTCACCAAGAATTCAAAGATGGGCTATCACACTAACTGCATACAATTATGAATTGAAATACAAACCTGGATCTGAGAATAGTGCAGATAGTCTTAGTAGATTACCTTTAAAAAACCAAAGCCTTAGCTATGTACCAGAAGATGTATTTGTTCTCTTCACTATCATGGATAACTCCAATATAAATGTGAATGATATTAAAAGAGAAACACAAAAAGATGAGTGCTTAATAAAAGTATATGAGTACTGTAAGAATGGTTGGCCTGAAGAGTCTGTGAATGATGACTTAAGGCCATATAAAATAAGAAAAATGGAGTTAAGTCTCGAAGATGGATGTGTACTATGGGGGTCAAGAGTAATTATCCCCAAAATGTTACAAAAAGAAGTTTTAAGAACTTTACATGATACTCATCTTGGTTCTTCCAAAATTAAGAGTCTGGCAAGATCATGGTTCTGGTGGCCACATATGGATGCTGATATTGAAAAATATGTAAAGCTTTGTTCAAGCTGTGCACAACATTCAAAGCAACCAGCTACAGCACCCTTGCAAAACTGGGACTGGCCAATCGAACCATGGAAACGTATACATATAGATTTCGCAGGACCTTTCATGAACAAAATGTTCTTAATTGTTATTGATTCACATTCTAAATGGTTAGAAGTTAAAATCATGAACACAATCACTGCAAATGATACCATTATAGAACTTAAGGAAATATTTTCAACTCATGGATTACCAGATCAAATTGTTTCAGATAATGGGCCTAGTTTCACAGCTCATGAGTTTAAACTGTTTTGTGTGGCAAATGGTATTGAGCATATAACCACATCCCCCTATCATCCTGCTGGGAATGGTTTAGCTGAAAGAGCGGTAGGCATATTCAAAACCGCTATGGTAAAAATGAGTACCGGTAACAAGTTTTCTCTTAGAGAAAGAGTAAACAGGTTCTTAACCAAATACCGCACAACTCCTCATATAACAACAGGTGTTGCACCATGTGAATTGTTATGTGGTAGGAAAATTAAAACCCACCTTGATCTACTACATCCAACTGTTCAAAGGTCTGTTTCCCAACATCAACATACACAAAAAGTAAATCATGACAAATCATCCATTGAAAGAGAATTTGGAGTTAATGATAATGTGTATCTAAGAAATTATGGGAGAAAGGAAAAATGGATACCAGGTCAAATTGTTCAATGTACAGGACCTGTGTCTTATAAAGTAAAAACAAATGATGGACTTATTGTCCGTAGACATGCAGACCAGTTAAAAATAACTTGTGCAGATAATAAGTGTGAATCTATCAATCCCACCAAATCTGAACAGTTCACACCAACTCAGTTTGTTCCACAACCAAGTTCTGTTGATATGAGTGAACCAAGTTGTCTAGAGTCAGAAAATGTAAATTCTGGAGTTAATGATTTAAATCCTAGACCTCCTGAGATAGAGAATCCAAATGGTCAGAATATTGAGTCACCAAATCAAAGGCCACTGAGAAGGTCAAACAGGACAATCAAAGTCCCAAATAAGTTAGACCTATGATTTTAAAGGTCAAAAGGACTTTGACATCATTGTTTGTATTTTAATTATGTTGTAACATATTGTGCATTGTTTGTAAGGATGTAATCTACCATAGTATTCATGTTACAATATAATTGGTGATTTTTAGGATACTGTAAATTGTTCTATTGAGAGATGTGTTGTGTTTACTAAGGGTAAAGGGATGTAATATAGTGAGACTTGTGAAGTCAAGGGAACTCACTCTTCTGTATTAGTATTATATTTATATTGTTATCTTGAGTGATGTCCCTTACATGTTTATGTATATAAGTGTCTCGCCACTTCCGTCCTCTCTCTCTTTCCTCATGGTGTGAATAAACTACTGTTAACAATCAATGTGGCTTCTCGTCAGTGATTCCAATCCAACACAGATCGCACAGGTGTTATCATCTATAAAGGTCATGATTTAGTTCCAATAAGCTTTCGTACACCAACTTCCTGTGACTCGTGCCATAAAACTGTCTGGCATGTGATTCACCCACCTCCAGCCTTGGAGTGTAAACGTAAGTGCTCTATATTTCTTTTAATGTGCTTTTCTTATCATAGAAGCATTTTTTTAAAACATGGAAATAGCCTATATGGGAAGATGAAGTAGAATTCAGGTTTCTTGACATGTTGTGGCCAGCACTTTCCCTAATGTGAGTCAGGTCCCTATTAGAGCTGGGTTGATGACCTGCAGTTTAGAGAGCGGACTAAGATCCTAACTCTAGGCCTTCCGTCTAGCTATTGAGCTCCCTACCACCTGACCAAACACTCCAAATATTACAAGACTATAATTTTAAAGAGCCAAGTGATTTAAACAAGTTTTTTTACCAGGTTGCCATGTAAAAGTACATCGAGACCACTATGACAAGAATGAAGAGTTTCTACCCTACTGTAAAGGTGAGCCTTGCTTTGTTTACTCTGTAATACATAAAATAGACATTTAACTTGCTTTGATCAGATAAAAATTCACATCTTCAACCCTTTATTTTCAGTAAATTATGATTCAAGTATTCAGGCAAAGGAAATGTTACTGCTGGCAGAGTCAACTGAGAAACAGAAAAACTGGGTTCAACATCTTAGTAAAAAAGTATCTAAAAAAGGGATAGTCAGTACAGGAAACCTCAGGTAGATACACAAGTTTGTCATGTACAGTACATGTGTGTGTTCATTCTCATACCTCCATATCACAGCATGTAGCTCATCCAGCTCATGGCTCAAATATTTTACTTTCTACATTAGAACTGCTTACTCAGATGGTAATGTCAGGTAGGTCAACATAGGTGTCCTCTTCCTTATTGGTTAATTTTTTTTTTACCTTCAGTGTTCTTGTTAAGTACAATGTGCTTTTAGCCCAGGTGTTTCTTTTAATTTGCTATCTGTAAGTAATTAATCTGTTGATTTACACAGTTTTATAGTGTAGTTTTATGTATATTAGTGTGATCAAATCTTTGCTTTTTTACTGTAAAAAACTTCTTGTTAGCTAAAAATAGTTGTTGTATTTATTGTTGTTTAGCTTTGTTTAGACAAGTGAACTACAGTGAGTGGAAACAAATTAGTTAAGAAAAAATATGATTTTACTCTTAAAAGAAGAAATAGCTTAAGAAAATGAAAAAAAAACTACATGTAAAAATTATTTGTTCAACATCTTTTCTTCATCTTTCCATACTTTAATGCTTTTAATTTATTTGCCAATGGGAGAAGTAGGCTAAGTTTTAAAATAATTTTTCAATTCATTAATTTTATTGGTATTAAGTAATTTATTAATCTTTTATACATTTTACATTCAATATATTTTTTACTAATGTTTAACTCTGAATCAACATTTTAAACTTTGTTATTATATTAACTTTAACAAATCAATATTTGTAGCTGGTTTAGACCTTCTATTTTGGTTACTGTTTTATTTGATTGTGACAAGGGGAGGATCCAGCAATATTTTGGCTTATGTGTTGTGGGCTAACATTTTTATTTCTGTTGTTTATTTTTCCCAGTACTGGTACTGTCAGGGGCACAAAGCAATATTCTTCTTATGGACCTCAGCAGAGGGGCCACCCCCAGGCTGGTAAATCTGCCACATTGCCGCCACCTAACGCTCGTAATTCATGAGCCTGTACAAATGGCTTGTTCAACTGGATTAAGTCTTATTAATTCAACCATTTAGTTATTTTTTTTTTACATCATAACCAATGCTCCTTAAATTGTTAGTATAAATATTTGTTTACCAGACCCACTTCATCTAATGAACAATGTTATATCATTAAATCCCTTCCATTTATCAAATTATTCTTTGCTGTACCGCATAGCCTAGTATCCCATTAGTAGTATTTTATACATTCAGTTGAAAAAGACATATTCAGACATTAAAAAATAAATGTTAAAAATATTTATTAACTTACAAGCTGCCTGGTGTATGCTTCAGTAATAGCCAGTGATTGTGTCAGTTTTCATGCTCTTTTATTTATTCTCTCCCTTCGAAAGCTGCGTAAGTGAAAAAGCTTGATTGCATGTGTCACAATTTCGTTTCGCTTTATATTTAAGTTAAGCTTTTCTACCGTTCATTTCAGTGCTTATACCTGCCATGTAGTGTTCTAAAATGATATTGTTTTTTTATTTAAATATTATTTAAACTCAGTGCTGCAGAGTATATTGTTGATAAGTCTTCTCTTGTGAGATATATTTGTTTGCCAGGAGCTCTTGATCATTCCACAAAGTTCTCTATGATCATCATGATGTGATGTTTTTGTTTGTCACTAACATCAGCCTAATGAAGTTTTTGTTTGACACTAACATCAGCCAGTTTTCTTGCTAAATTAACTTTAAAGATGTCTGTTAATATTTAAAAAAAAAAAACATTGATAAAATATGTAGATAGCTATTAATAGATTTGACCCACCTTTCTCCATAATTATACACCATTACAATTTGTATAGTTTTAGTAATTATTTGATTTGTTATTTTAAAAAAATAACATTTAAAAGTTTGCCCAAACTGTCTCAATTTATTTAGATGCTTTAACAAAATATTGTTTTTAACAATTTTCAAAAGTTAACAATAAATATCTACTTAATTCTACTATCCCTATTTTAAAATAAAGTAAGAATAATACATAAATGATGGAGAATTATGCCAGATTGAACTTAGCTGTTGTTAATGTGTACTCGCTGCTGAATGTTTCTGGTGTCATAATAAACTGGACTCAAGTATTCATTGTTATACTCACTCTAATAGGGTTATGGGAAACTTGACATGATTACACTTTCATTTATTTTTGTACTATTTATACATATTTTTAACATTTTCATGTACAAATTATTTTAACTTCTGCAATCAATGATTAAATCTGGTATTTGTTTTCAAAAGTATTTATCTTGACCAACCTAGTTATTTTGTTTGTTAGTCATCTGTTAAATCTCTATCGACTTTCTACTACAAGATTTTGTGCTTAATTGTTAGTACAAAATCTCTTCAAATTTATTAGGCCTTTTTAAATATCTTTTTAAAAAAATTACTTTTTTTCAACGTTATGCTATACATTGGTTTTTCATTCTTTAAAAATTGTAAATTAAATGTTTCCATTGGCATTTTAAAAAGCTCTTCAATAAAAATGGTACATTTAATGCAGTGCTTGGGAGGGGCATAAGGTTGGTGATCACTTAGTCAAACACAATACACTAGCTCCCCTCTAATTGTGTTGTTGGTGGTAATGTTACCACGTGGTGTGTTGTTATTGTCAATTACAACGTGGTGTGTTGTTATTGTCAATTACAACATGGCGTGTGTTCACCCTTACATGGTACATCACTTTTTTATTGGATCAAAGCTCTTGTGAACACATTTAACCAAAGTTGTTCTTGTGATATTTTTTAATAACTCATTGTTTTGACCTCTCTTACAACTTAGAAAAGCTCTCTGAACATGTTTGATCAGTTGAGTTAATTCATTTCAAACAATGACCATACAATCAGAAATATTGGCTGGGATTTGGTCAAGTTTGTTCTTGTTGTATCGATTTCCTCTTCAATGACTTGTAGAAATGATACCTAACTTATTTCTTTTATAGATTGTTTATTTTTTGTACTTAAGTGTTGTGTAGACATTTTCTTATTCACCAATTCTTTCCTTTCTCTCCTTTTTTTTCTTCTTTCAGTCAGCCAATTAAAGAAAGAGGTTACTTGCGCAGTGCAAAAGGTGGACAATCCTAACATTTCATGACCACTTTTCTTTTCACTTTCTGCAACTAGTTTTAAAAATGTTCTGTTTTGTTTACAGTAGGATAATAATATTTCAGTATTTGGAATAGAATAGAAATGTTTAAAGTAAGCAATTAAAAAATCATGTTAACAGTTTGTATATTTTAGGCTTCTTAAAAAAAAATAATAACTTACTGTTTGGCACTAACAGAAATATTTTTTTAGCAAATAATTTGAAAATGTTACTGTTTTAAAAAAAAAAAATTTACAAGTAGGCCTAACAAATTGTTTGAATGGCAACTATAATTTAGATTATTTTATTAAGTAATTAGATCTATATGTTAAAATAATAACTATGCAATTCTAACCTGAATGTTTTTTTTATATTACGCCCAGCTTGTCATGTTCATGTCTCTTGCATGAATGGTTTTTTTCTCTTGTAGTTATACATGGGGTGGTTCATCTCTCTGCTTTACTAGCATGAATGTTTTTTTCTTGTAGTTATACATGGGGTGGTTCATCTCTCTGCTCTACTAGCATGAATGGTTTTTTCTCTTGTAGTTATACATGGGGTGGTTCATCTCTTTTCTTTACTAGCATGAATGGTTTTTTCTCTTGTAGTTATACATGGGGTGGTTCATCTCTCTGCTTTACTAGCATGAATGGTTTTTTTCCTGTAGTTACCACTAGCTGTTGGTGAGGTCTTGAACCTCACTAAACTTTGTATTTTTGTTGTTGAAACAAGACTTAGGATATGTAGTTGCCTTGTGTGTGAGCGTGTGTGTGGAACTAGTTTAACAAGTACTAGAAGTGTGGGGTTGGACTAACACAATGCAGCTGTGTGTGGATGAGAGGGGCTGTACATTTTCAGTTCCTTTTTGTGATAGACATTGGCTAAGTTTGTACATAGATATAGTTCATCTTGTTACTGTAAGCATTTCTTGATTTGTCCAGTGTTTTCACCAGCAAGGGTTGGCCCTGGCCATTGCCACATAAGCCCATCATTATTTGGTACTAGCTTCTCATAATTCTTTTGTACTACTTGATTTGGCCAGTCATGCTAAATTTTATTTCAACAGTTTACATGGGTATACCATGGTTGCATTAAGGTTTTCTCTTGTACATCTGAGTTGATTTTAAACAGATCGGGTTTAATTAGCACAGGTTAATTGATTATTATTTTGTAAATTGTAAGAAGAATTTTTCTTGTTGAATATTTATTTCTGTATTTGAATCACTAATGATACAATGTAATTTGTTTGTGTTACATTTCTTCCAGGGTTATTGTTCTTATCTCTTGTATATATGTGAACTCTATTTATACAAAGTACATAATGCTCTATTCAAATCTATATTCCACCCTGTAACAGCTCCAGATAAGCGAACATGAGATGATCTGTTTTAGGCAGTTACCAGCAGTATATAACTTTAGTAGCAAATATATCAAAGCCTTTGTATGTTTTCATGCTGTCATATTGAAAGTGGCATTCCTATGGTCCCTTCCTTTGTTGTCTTCTGGCATGACATTTATTCCATGAATAAAATGTTTGATACATCTTTTGTTTGTCACTTCATCAATGTACAAATGGCGTGTCTGTTTTAAGTGTGTACAGCAACATGTACTAAGACCAAAGCTAAGCGTGATATAAGCTGATCAGTTTGTCACTTCATCAATGTACAAATGGCGTGTCTGTTTTAAGTGTGTACAGCAACATGTACTAAGACCAAAGCTAAGCGTGATATAAGCTGATGGAGTGATGGGTTGGCATTGACATTCACATGTGTGTTGGATGGTCCAGTTTACAGGAAGGAGAAGGGGTGAGAGCAGTTAGTTAACTGTACAGATAATCTGGTGGTATTGATTAACTGGATCAAATAATGTGGTCAGGCGTGGTTTTGTTTCTTCTAACTGTTCGGCTCACCCCATCTTCTTGACTAACTGAAATTTAAACTAATCAAATAGCAATTGACAAAATACTTTTATACAGTGGCCTAGCGGTAGAGAACTAGACTGCTAACCCAAAAGTCGAGTTCAAATCCGTTAAAGTCAGTAGACTGTCGAAGTCCACCCAGCTTTGTTGGGTACCTAACTCACGTTGGGAAAAGTAAAGGTGGCTGGGCATAGCGCGAACCACACTATCCCTTCATTTTCCGAGGTCACAGAAGCAAGTGAACTCTACTTCACTAGCCACACAGACCGGCAGGTGTGAAAAGGGACTTTACATACTAAAATACTTTTGAGAACACCAACAAATACTAGTATTAATAAATCCAGGGACGGCATGGTCTTGCATTAGAACTTGCTCTTGCTAACCGCAAGTCACGTGTTCGGTACATAGGCTCAAGACTGGTATAATGTACAGGGAAGTAGGTAAAGGCATGGCACATACCAGATTCTCCATTTTCGGCTTATGATAGAGCAAATACACCGATACAATGATTATTAGGTAGTGAGGATTTGTTTTGACGGTATGTTTATTTGGCAAAATATTTGAACAACATAACAAAAATATATAGGGAGCAGTATCACAGTAAAGTATATAGTTGTGTGGATCTGTTGGGAAAAGTTTACCAGAGCTGGAAGATGCTAGTTCAGCTGTTGAGACAGAATTGGCTTTACAAATGTATCCTATAGTGGTAGAACCGCAGCCGAAAGAACACACCTCTGAAGCTTTAGGAAGGCTGTATAATATATTTACACTGACAATGAAAACGTATTTTAGATTTTACATTAACTTGACGATAATAGAACACTTATAATTACATAATTAGTTTTTCTTGGGCCTCCATCCACCAATGAAGTCCAAGATCTTTTTAATTTCTAATCCATTTAGCTCCGGAAACCCTTCTTTTAATAGTTTTTTATCTAATGAGCTCAACAAGCTCCCATCTATTTGTTCGTTAGAGAATCTTATGACGACCCTGTCTTTCATGCCGATGTAGCGCAATGATCTGGACACCTCCTGCACACTCATTCCCTGGATGTCCGCAGGTGGCGTCCAGCCGTCGTCCTCCTGACGTGGCACGTACTCGCTGTAGCTGTACTCGCTGTCATTGGGGAAGCCCGGATCTCCCCGAGAACACACGGAAATAGCCGAGTCGTCGCCATGTTTTAATAATCCTTCGTTAAATCCCCCGACGGAGCTGCCTCGATCTTGAAAGCAAGGCTCGCTTTCGGCATAGTGCATGCCGCCATATCCGTAGGTGTAGATGTTGGTTGGCTGCTGGGAGTCTATCATGCTAGGGTCGACGGATCGACTGTTGTACAACACTGGACGGCTGTCGTAAGAAAAATGTTGGGATTGTTCAGCGTAGGAATGTACGCTACGGAGATCTTGAAAAGAGTCCTCGCGCCTGGAACCGTTCTGCGAGTTTGAGAAAGCACCCATCACCCCCGGCCGCATCTTGATGTTGTGCACACGTAAGGTTGCGTTAGGGTTAACCTGGACCTTTTGGTTATGACCTGAGCGGTGGGATGATTTATAACGGTTCCCCGTGCTTTCAGATTTCGTGTTCCTGTCGCGGAAATCTGTTCCCTGTCGCCACTGCGCCATTTTGGGCTGGCTGTAAATCTGAGACGTGCTTGTGGCGGGCTGCCGTGTGAGACCGTCGCCCTGGGAGACGTTGTCGCTGTAGGCAAAGCTGAAGAGCTCGTCGATGTCCACGGGCAGGCCGTCCCTGTTCCGGGGCTGGCTGAAGTCCAGGTGTTCGCTCTTAGCTTTCCGAGACCTTTCCGATTTGTAAGAGTCGTGCGGCGTTGCGGGTCTGTTCCGGAGCTGGTACTCTGACTTTTTAGCGTAGCGGGGTTCTTGTATCCGTAGCGGCACCATGTACCCGTCCTCATCGTCGTCCACCACAGCTTGACTGGGTGCTGGTTCGTCTTTAGCGCTGCGAGACGGGGGGCGGGGCGCGGGTGGGAGGTGCTCGTACAGCGACTCTTTGGACTCGTCCAGCGTGTGGACAGGAATGATGAACTCGCCGTGATCTACGGGGGAAGACGGTAAACTGGCTTGCGGCGAATCGGGCGGAATCGGAGGCAGATCGCGATTTTTCATGCTGGATTTCCGGCTCGCGATTGCCGCGTCGCCGGCATCGCCGTACGTCGGGTTAGGGAAGCTGCTGCCGTAGACGTTGCCGCTTCCAAGAGAAGAGCTGCTCCTGTAGGTTCCGCTACTGCCGAGCCCGGAGTCGTCCTGTTTGGCCTTGACGGCGTCACTGCTTTTCGGCGTGACGTCATCGTCGTCCAGCCCCGTGAAAAACTCGTGGTAGCTGATCTCGCTCCTGGCGATCCTTTTCGAGAACACGTCCTCGCCACGGAGCTCCTTTAATTTAGCTCTTTCCTTTTTGACTTTCCGGACGCTGAGTTTGTCCAGAAGTCCTGTGGATTTTGACTTCTTCAGCTCTCTCGGAAGTCTCTTTGGTAACTCGACGTCTGTGCTGGGAACCTGAACTGAGTCTATGGTAGTGTCGGGCGTACTCTTCGATGCCACGGCAGCAGATGTGTCTTCACTGAAGACATTAGACGTTGACGGGGCATCGCTCAGAGAAGTGTCTGCACTAGGGACTATTTTATTGCGGTTAATGTCTTGGTGTTCTTCGGCGCCCGCGGATGCGTCGGTGACACCACCAATTAAAAATGCTGGCTTCGGGGCGGTGGTTAAATTAGTTCTAATAGGCGCGAAGGTTGATACATAGGTATCGGAGTGAGGTCTGAGATCAGTGGTGTCTACAGACTGGGCCCTGAAGTAAAGGACGTCCCTCGGAACTTTTGTGTCTTTGCGGTCATTCACGATGGAAAGTTTATCCGGGGCGGAGCTTGTGTCCACCAAGCTGGCTTTGATTGACGGTTTCTTTTTGACCACACCCCTGGAGAAGAGAATGTCTTTGCTGACGGGCAGTTCAAACGTGTCGCAGCTGGAACTGTCCGCGCTAATGGCGCCGTCCGGTCCGATCAGGCTCGCCACCACCAGTTCCTCCTCCCGCGTGCCGTAGAGCCGGAGCACGCCCCGCGGGTACTGGAAGGTTTCCCTGTGGTTGGTGTGGATGAGCTGGCAGTTGACGGGCAGGCCAAACGCCATGATGAGGTCCTGGAGCTCGTACACAGCGTCGTAGTTGGCCGTGGTGGCGTCACCGACAGGGCTGAACACCCCCGACATGATTAACGGGATCATGATCTCCCTGTGGTCGGGGTCGAAGCACTGCAGGTACTTGAGATCCTGTTCTTTCTTTACCTTGCTCTGCTTCAGCAGCCGCTTGAAGATGTTCTTCTGCGGCACCATCTTGTTTTTCTTGCTGTCGGAGTGGACGAGGCCGGTGGTCAGCACCTCCCCGGGCTTGATCTCGATGGGAACCCAGCAGGTGGCGCCGTTGTCGTCTGGCTTCAGCTGGTACCCAGCGGCGGATGTCCGGACTAGAAACTTCTTGGAGCGGATGCTGGTGATGCCGCCGATGGTGTCGAAGTACTCCACCGGACGGCCGTCGTCCGGCACCACTTCCAGCCAGCCTGGAACACAAGAGGGGAAGGGAGAAAGATAAAGTAATATAAAATGTAAAATAGAATAAAACAAACATAGGATAAACGCAGTATAAAGGTAGGATAAAAACTTAGAATAAAAGACTAAAGAAATAATTATACCATGTTCGACTATCAGTCTTCATCAGAACGTTTACATTTTAACAATTTTGTTATGAACTCTATATATATTTTAATGATCCAGCTTTTGTTATTTATAATTCGTTTCGTTAAGCTAAAGAGAATATATTAGAAAATCCCCAACCAGTATTACTTATTATTCAATTTATTTAATTTAAACAATTTATTCAATAACGGTAGCAACAGTAGGCACGGAGGCCTTTTTATTAAATGGCCGTTAAAAAATGTAGTAAACACATAGCAGTAACATAGCATTCAAAGATTTGGAATAAAGAAAAATTATTATTGATATTAATGTATCGGAGTTGGCAGGTATCGCTCGACCTAACACACATGTACAACATTAACATGGCGCCCCCCCCCCCCCCCCCGAGTAACCTGAATATAGAACCCACATTCACTGATCATTACCGCACCAAAATGGCGTCAACCACGACAGCGCTGAGGGGGGGGGGGGGGTGTGAATAACAAGACTTGCCGCCCAAGAGGCAATGACATTTGGATGTTGACACGACACACAGGTTAGCCAGCCCCCAGCAGAAATGTTGACATTTGGATGTTGACACGACACACAGGTTAGCCGGCCCCCAGCAAAAATGTTGACATTTGGATGTTGACACGACACACAGGTTAGCCGGCCCCCAGCAAAAATGTTGACATTTAGATGTTGACACGACACACAGGTTAGCCGGCCCCCAGCAAAAATGTTGACATTTGGATGTTGACACGACACACAGGTTAGCCGGCCCCCAGCAAAAATGTTGACTCGCTCCGTCTCTGCCGCGAATTCCACGTCCCTATTAATCCCCGCGATGTCATATTCATCGATTATCGAATTGATTGAACAATCAGCTTATCTAACCTCAGAGGGAATTGAATCAATCGATACAACCGTGGCCCTTCTGTGACGCACATAATACAAACGTCAGTAAAGAAACGAAAAACAAAAGCAAAAAACATGGACAGTATACTATAAGTAGCAATGAGTCGCTTCACTTAGAAGTCAAGACATTTGAAAGAACTCAAGGCTACAAATTAACCTGATCAAGAATTTAATTAAAAAACAAACAAGAATAATAATCAATGGCAGGGATACATCAAATATATTTACAGGAAAAACAATGTGTATGAAAATTACGTTGATCATGGTATGGGTTGTGAGATTATTTTGTTGTTGTTGCCAATTCAGGATTTTGTCTTTATCTCTGTCTGGGCACTGAGCCGTCTAGGTAGTGAACCGTTTGGGAAATAAGCCGTCTGAGTACTGAACCGTATTGGTACTAAGCCGTCTGAGTACTGAACGGTATTGGTACTAAGCCGTCTGAGTACTGAACGGTATTGGTACTAAGCCGTCTGAGTACTGAACGGTATTGGTACTGAGCCGTCTAGGTAGTGAACCGTATTGGTACTAAGCCGTCTGAGTACTGAACCGTATTGGTACTAAGCCGTCTGAGTACTAAGCTGTCTGAGTATTGAACCGTATTGGTACTAAACCATCCGAGTATTGAACCGTATTGGTACTAAGCCGTCTGAGTATTGAACTGTATTGGTACTAAGCCGTCTGAGTACTGAACCGTATTGGTACTAAGCCGTCTGAGTACTGATGTTTGTCTAAGTAAGTAAAGACATCTGAACAATCTGTCTTTAGTTAAGTTTACAACAGGAAAACTCGCAGTAGACATTAATAGCCAACGGTGATTACTTCAATTGAGCTGCGTTATTACTGTTAAAAAATTCGCGCAAACAAACCTTAATAATAACCCACCACTTGTAACTGTCATGTCAACGATTTTCACACACCACCATGACACTCCCATCCCCACCTCCACTTATTACTGTCAATCTGTCTTGAGGATCACCATCAATCAGTCTCACTAACCACGTTACCCACAATTCTTGCTTCTACTGTCAACTAATCGAATGAAACCTCCCTGACTTACAACATGTTCACTGATCCCCTTCATGTTTTCGTTCAACGTTTACCGGCCACCGAACCACCTACACACCTGGGGCTCAATGTTTACACACAGATGGGCTGACACACATGGCCTTTCATATACTCGCTGCCATGAAATGGCTAGAATCACTTAGGTGGGTGTTTCAATATTAGTTAGCCATGCGGTATTTTTTTTAATGTGACATCGGAGACGGGAGAAGTAATTGGTTAAAATACATGAATTATATATAGGCCATTAGCATACGCTGTATACATTTCATGAACACATAGTCATTTAGGCCTACACATTGTGTATATACAAATATGGTAAACGGAAAAAAAGTCACAGGAAAAAAAAAACACAGAAAAAAAGTCACAGTTTTTGCTAGGAAAAAAAGTCACAGAAAAAAAGTCACAGTGGAAAAATTTTATCGGAAAAAAAGTCACAGAAATAAAGTCACAGAAAAAAAGTCACAAAAATCTTTTTAGAAATATTTTTATTAATTTGTTAAGAATTGTAAAATTTTGTATGTTTATTGTTGTGGGTTGTATTTTTTAATAGCATAAATTATTTATAGACGTCAAAACCATTATGATATATAACAATTGTAAGTAAAAATACTCTAAGATAATTTACACAACAATCTCAATTTTTGTTTTGTATTTAGTTAAATACGCGGTAGAAAAGTTAATTATAAAAGAAATGTAGGTAAATTTTGCCGTAGGCTATTCTCTGGTCGGCCTCTCCTCAGTAGGCATTGTCCGAACATATTTTGTGTTGCTGACGTTACGCGTCAATGACAGCCTTTGAACCTTGTCGGCTTTCTGCTTTGATCCTAAGTTTTGTTATGTAATGAGCGTGATAAATGTGGGCAGTAAAGGTGGTTGAACTAAACATAACTATTGTTGCCATGAATTGAGGGCAGCAAGTCAGATGAACTTACCATTTCACGGTAATTTAATATTGGTATTAAAAAAAAACACGGTGAAAACCGTGGACTTTAGAGCATTCTATTATATGCTACTAATCTTAAGTATAACATAATTACAATCTACATACTTCATAATAAATATTTTTAGATGAATTATAAAAATTCCTATGCGTATACAGCCTACAAACATTACATTATATTTAATTAACCCTAAGTTAATTTGCACTCTCTAAATATTTAATACATAAAAGTATTAACAAATATCATGCAAATATATATTTGTGACTTTTTTTCCTGTGACTTTTTTTCCTGTGACTTTTTTTCCTGTGACAATTTTTCTGTGTTTTTTTTTCCTGTGTTTTTTTTTTCCTGTGACTTTTTTTCCTACAATCACAAATATAGGCTCCTATATATATATATATATATATATATATATATATATATATATATATATATATATATATATATATATATATATATACTAATATAGGCCCCTCTATATACATATAGACCTAAATATATATTATATATATATATATATATATATATATATATATATATATATATATATATATATATATATATATATATATATATATATATATATATATATATATAATAGACATATTATCCTATGTATACTTATGGCATGGCCTCTATTATTTATAAGTTTAATCCTTGACATCACTCATGCAATGATAATCCACGGTTAAACTGCCCACAGCATGTTTGATCAGCTGACCTATTAAAATCAGCATCTGATCAGATACATCTAATGTAGGCCTTCATACAACTGAACGGGTATGTGTAGGTTATAAGTTAGACGCGATCGTCAGATGAAAATGACAAAAACAAAATACACGTAGAATATGCCAGTGGTGTGTTGTTTTGGGATGACACCATCTGATGGGGGTGACATTATCTGATAAGAGAACACCAACTGATGGGAGGACAACATCCCGTGCGGTGACACTATTTGATGGGGTGACACCATACAATGGGGTGACACTATGCCAGTGTCATCGAAAACTTCAAAATTTACTGGGGAAACAACCCTTGTCCAGTTAAATTATCAAGTTATTCAATGCCAATATATCGATCAGCACAGATTGCCATTATCCTACAAATAGGGGAAGGGGTGGTTACAGAAGCTTAGGCAGGGGAAGGCGGGTGGGGCGGCCACCCAGGGCGCTGACCCTAAGGGGCGCCAAACAGGGTATAGACAAATAAAAAGCTTATTTTCAGTTGTATTACACTGTAGACGTTTTTAAAAATAGACTACTTAGCTTGACGAAATAATACCTTTTAATTGTACAGTGGTAAAAAGCGTCCCGACCTCTCCAAGTTTAGAGGGGGGGGGGGGGAAGGAGGAGGCACTTTTTCACACACGTCACGTGAATAGCTATATAAAATTGGGGGGTGGTGCGCCCCACGCCGGAATAGGTCGATACGACTCTGGGTGGTGAAGTATCACAAAAAAAAAAATGGCTACATATAAAGAGAAAACAGTAGAATACAAATGAGAGCATGGCATGACATATCAACCAGAGCTTGGGATGGGATGGGGGGGGGGGGGGGCAAATGACACCCTGAGTCACCTTATCACCGTGACACCCGATCTAGTGACACCACAGACGTTGAAATAGTATCTACCTGGGTAAAAGACTTGCCTACGCTGAGAGATCTAGTAGCCTATATCGGCTAGAGCCAGTTATGTCTGCAAGTTACTAAAAGAATACTCGAGTACCTACAACTCAGCTTTACACGTGAAGATTTGAACAATAATTTTCAGCCGTTTTCATTTCTTTTTGCTTTCCTGTCCTTTTTTATAACAATTAGAACATTTACCATTGGGTATACAAACAGTCTAAAAATATACATATGCATAAGCTTAGACACGTACACCAACATATACATATTTTTTATGATATGCTTTGGTCACACTCTGTTAATTTTTAATTCAGCTACGCATCAGTGAACAC